TTAACGCTTAATTATTCACCAGAAACACCAGGAAGGCCGAGATAAAAGCTGGACAGGTCGCCTTTAGAGTCAACCTTTTTCTCTGGGGATGGATTCGTGGGAAGTGTGAGCGCCTGGAGCGGGGCTCCCAACAGGAGCTTTTATTTTGGAATCGGGGGGAGCGGGAGGAGGCTGCAGGGAGCTGCCGGAGCTCCTGCTCCTTATCGGGAACAAAAGGCGCTCTGTTGGGACTCCAGCTCGCTCCTTAAGCCTCCCGGCTCCCCTGGACTTTGCTTCCCTCCTGCCTCGCAGAAGCAGCTCCCGGAGCTGGCTCTGGCTCTGGCTCTGGCCAGGATGTCTCCACAGGTGGGTTTTTGCGAGCTGACACAAAGTGAGGAGGTTTTGGATTTCCAGAGGAACCGGGCTCAGCGCCGGAGGTGCTGGGAAGGGGCAGGCTGGGGATGCACCTGACTTGTTATATGGGCAGATCCACCTGATTTTTTTTTTTTTTCATGGGAATGGTTTAGATTAAAAGAGGAGAGATTTAGATGGGATTTAAGAAGGAATTGTTCCCTGGGAGGGTGGTGAGCCCTGGCACAGGGTGCCCAGAGCAGCTGTGGCTGCCCCTGGATCCCTGGCAGTGTCCAAGGCCAGGTTGGATGGGGTTTGGAGCAGCCTGGGACAGTGGAAGGTGTCCCTGGATATGGCAGAGGTGGGACTGGGCAGAACTTTAATGCCCCTTCTAACCCAAACCATTCCACAGTTCTGTGATTCCATGGGCTGTGGTGTAACCTCACACTCCTCTCTGCCTGGCTCTCCCTGGGGGAGCTGGACCAGCAGGGACAGTGCCTGCTGGTTTTTGGGGTGCTGGGGACAGCCTGCCAGGTGTGCTGCTTTGTGAGCTGGTTTGGGGTTTGTTTCTGGGCTGGGTGAGTGTTTTCAGTTTGCCCCAACAGATGCAGCACGTTTCTCTTGCCCAGCCTTGATGGAGGCTGAGCTGTGCAAGTTGCCTTCGCCCAGGGCTGAGCAGAGGCTCCCCTGGTTTCCCTGAAAATCTGGCATTGCCCGGGTGTGTGGGAAGAAGGCAATATTGGGACCCAAAGGTGGCAGGCCCCAAAGTGGCATTTCAGAGGCTGAGCTGCCCTGGGGTGTCCCAGGGCTTTGGGGCCAGCTGCATTACTGTGGAACTATAAGCACAACTGTGTCCCTTCTCCCTGGCTCCCAGCCTGGCACTGTCATTGCTGTCTGGGCCACAGGGTGTCCTTGGAGGGGGATTGTTGTAGCTGATCTATCTCCTCTGCATCCTGTGCACAGTCAGGGCTGGATTCCTCAGAACAGGCTCACACTGCTGGGAAAACAGAGTTGTTTTTCCTTTTCCTTGTCACTCACCTCCCCTCTCAACCTTCCGAGTGTTTGTGTTCAAGGACAGCAGAGCTTTGGGATGCCAGGACAGCTCCAGGGACAGCCCTGCCTGGAAGGAACCTCCCTGGGAGCCAGACTTTGCCCTCCTTTCCAAGGCAACGCCTTGGCAGAGCTTGTGCTGAACCTTCTGTCCCTGCCTAGACCTTGCAGGTGATTCCCAAGAGTCTGTCTTGTCACACTGCAGCAGCTTTTTTTTTAATCCATATGTTTTTATAGGACTTTACAACATCTAATTAGGTAATCTTTACTCCCATGTGTCACCAGATGCCTGGGAGGGATGAGCTGCTGCTGGAGAAGACCCCTAAAGGCACCTCACCTGTCTCATCGGGACACATTACATCATCTCAGTGCTGATTTCACCATTTGTTTCCTTTTAGAAGCAGGAGTGTTCACCTGGGCTCTCAGATCCCTGGAGTTTCCCTGAGCAGGCAGAGATACCTCTCTGTCCTGTCAGCCAGGTGTGGCTCAGGGGAAGTACCTGCTGGAGGAGCTGGATTTGGGATTGGGAGCCTCTGTCAAACCCTGATCCTGTTCCAGCTCGGAACTCTGCGTGTGCCTGAGTCCCTGTTTTAATGTCTGAAGTTTGCCTGAAGCACTTCAGGGTGTGTTTTATTTGATACAAAAATCAAAATGCACTGATATTGGTGACACCAGCCCCTCTCTGAACATGGCACCAATGTTCCTGGCAAGTCCTCTGGGGTGGGTGTAGCCCAACCTGGCTGTCCTGAGCCCATGGATGTTTTTTAAGTGTGTATTTGGCTTTTTTTAAGCTGGAAAGAATGTTTACTTTCTGCTCACCGGAAGGCAAAGCTGGCTGAAGGAGAGCTGTGGCAGGGGGATTTGAAGGGTCAGTGCACAAACCAGCTGCTCATGAGGCCATAAATAAGAACTTTCTGTACCCACACACTTGCCCAGGGACAGAGATTTGGCTCTGTCAGGCATTTGGCAATACCTGAACCTCCTTGGTTTGCCTATCTCCTCCTGGCATCTCTTCTTGAGGTTGAGTTACTGATTCTGTGGTGGAATGTGCAGCAAAGTTCTCCACGCTCGTGCTCAGGAGAAGGACTTTGTTTGCAGTTTCAGCTGCTTCTTAACTCATTGTCCACCCAGGTTTAATTTTAATAGGGCTTTCTTGCTTTTGAAACCTCACCTAGGCTGGTATCACGAAGGAGAAATACAATTTTTAGGTAATAAATCAGTGCATATCTTTGGTGTGGCTGAAGGACAATGGTTGATGTGCTGTGCTGGTGGCTTCTCCTACTCCAAAAGGGTTGCTCCCAAATCCAGCCTGTCCATGTGTGTATTTCCCACCAATGAGGAGTTTTAGAACAATTTAATAGAGAAATCATAGAATCATGGAATGGTTTGAGTTAGAAGGGACCTTGAAGATCCTCTTGTTCCAACATCTGCTTAAGGGCACTGTTCAGCTCCTGGTTTACTTCATGTTGAGAGGGTCAGCAGTAACCACAGCAGGGTTTCTAATCAAATTACTTGTGAATTGGAGTGTTTGGAGGTTTTTTGGCTTCTTTCAATAGTTGTCTTTACTCTGTGCTCATTATAGTACTTCAAATTGCTCATTATAATACTTCAACCTATGCTTAAATTTAGGCTTTTCTAGTGAGAAGGAGGGGCTGGGGTGGGTATTTAAAAAGCAGCCTTTATTTTGCCTTTATTTTGTAGTGTGCAAGTAAAATTCTTTCCAATTTGGCATGAAATGTTTTTCAAAGAGGCAAGAGGGAATGTGCAGCTGGGGGTGGCTGCTGTCACCTCTTGGGCTTTCTCTGTCTGTGACCAAGCCAAGGCAGGTCAAGCCTCTGCTTCCCCTTGTCCCTCGTGCTGGAGCATTAATGGTGTTTCTAGAAAGTGCAGCATAAATCCAGTAAAGCACTTAAGCAAGTCCCAGCTTTAGATGTGTAAGTGGTTTTGGTGGATTTATGCTTTTTTAAGTGGGTGGGGGCTTTAGAGGCTTTTGTTTCTCTCTGCAAGACAGGCACAGGCTCTGCCCTGGTGGAGTTTACTGGAACTTCAGACTGGTGGAGTTCACTGATTTCAGACTTGAGCTCTGGGCAGGTTTGTGTTGTGTTTAACTTCAGGGAGGTGTCCTGGAGGTGCTGGTGTCCACAAGGCAGGTGGAAGCTGAGCCTGGCTTCCAAGAGGAGCTCCTGGCTGTGTCCATCCTCCTGAGTGTGGTGGGCACAGAGGCTGGGAGGGCAAAGCAGGGCTGGACTGAGTCACTTGGCTGCTCCCAGTGGCTGCATGGAGTGGGAATTGCTGTTATCAGCTCTCTCTCCATCCCTTTGAGGGTTTCTATCCCTTTTTGCCCCTGGAAGTGTCCAAGGCCAGTTTGGGTGGGGCTTGGAGCAACCTGGGGTAGTGGAATAGGCAGGGAGTGGAATGAGATGTGCTTTAAAGTCCTTTCCGATCAAAACCACTCCATGATTTTATGCATACAGTGCTTTGAGAAACATCATTTTCTCCAAAATCTTCGGAAAAAGCCCTGAAAGCTGTTCTGTACACCCTGGCAGAGGAAAAGGGTTTTGTTTCAGCCATGCCTGCATTCACACTGCTGCTGTTTTGCTCTGCTGCTGTGCTGGAGGGGCAGCTGAGCACGTGGGATCCCACAGGTGAACTTCAGGTGGAGCAGATGCTTTCCATGAGCAGCTCTTCACCTGCAGGCCAGGCAGGAGGGCTCCCACCCCTCTGTCTGACCTCTCCAGTGACAGGGGACCAGCTGGAGCTTGGCACCAGCACTGGCAATCCCAAAATTCCTTGATTTGCTCCCAGGCGTGCTGGGGAAATCCCCAAATCTTAGGAAAGGGGCTGGCTCTGTGAGGGGTAACGAGGTTTGGGGGGGTTCTCCTGCTGCTGCCATGGTTCTCCAGAGATCAGGCTCAGAAGGGATTGTCCCTGCCCGTGTGTGGGAGCAAACAGGCAGCCCTGAGGGTGATCACTTGCCTGGGGTGCAGAGCTGGAAAACGCAGCTCTCCTTGCTCGTATCACAGTCTCTTACAACACAAACCCTGCTGCTTTCCCAGAGCCTGCTCAGTGATGGGTTTGAGATGCTGCTCCAGCTGATGTGTGGAGATTTGAGTCCCTGCAAATCAGAAGCTGTAATGAAGATTTAGAAACTGTTTATTTGCTGTTGAGGGATGGAAGGTTTTACTAGACAGGACAAAAAAAAGGTGCTCCAAGGGCTAATTGGGAGTTTTGAATGGTGGTTTTTGCATGGAGTTCAGATTAATAATAACATGTCCTCTTGGAATGGGTGGGAGAAAGCAGCAATGATGGGAACTGCTGAGTCAGCAGTGGGTAATCCCTCCTGCCCTGGCCAAATCCATCCTGGCTCACAGCAAAATCTCCCTCCAACTCTTGTTTAGTCCCTCTTTCTGTGATCTGCTTTCCAAGCCCTGCAAAGGCTGAGGTGCACCCCGTGGTACCCACGGAGAGCACCTGGACTTGGGGCGATTCCAGAGGTTGGATTCCTGCTCTCGGAAACGCAACACAGCGAAAATCCCCTCATCCACGTTCTTCCTGCTCTGCCACGAACCCACACAGCTGTAGGATCTTATCATTTTGCTTCTTGTGTGTTTTTTAACCAGGCAAATGAGGTGACTGACAGTGCCTACATGGGCTCGGAGAGCACCTACAGCGAGTGCGAGACCTTCACGGATGAGGACACCAGCACCCTGGTGCAGCACGAGATGCACGACGAGGTGGAGACCGACAGCGCCATCGACTCCACCGTGCACTCGGAATTCACGGATCCCATCGAGGAGCCGGAGCACGGGTGAGGAGCAAACCCCCACCCGGGGCCTGGGGAGGCACAGCCCGAGGGTTTCACACCCAGCGGGCCGAGTTTGTCCTGCTGGAACTTGGGTTGTTCTTCTGGTGCCTTGGGAAGGCTGACCTAGAACAGAGACCAGACAGAGCTAAAGAATAAAGGAGGGATTTATTAGGAGGCCTCAATGGATCCACCTTGGGCAGCACAAGAGCCCAGCCAGGGCTACACCTCAGGTGAATCAAAATGGTCACAAAATGCACAACTGGTCACGAGGTCTCATATTTTTGTAAGTTCTGGTCCATTTGCATATTGAAGTTAATTGTCCACTTATAGCTTCAGCCCATGAAGTCCCACCCTTCTTGTTTTTCTCTCTTCAGTCCATGTTGTTTCTGCTCTTGGGCCTGAGATTTGTCTCATTTGTCCTTGGTCCCCATCTAGAGCAGGAATTGTTTTGTCTCCCTACTCTGTGAGGAGAGCTCACCATCCCCTAATATGAAGCCCAGACCCACACACTATGCAGCAGAGAATCTGAAAAATATAAAAGCTAAAACTTAAGGCATCACTTTGTGTTTGTAACGATGTGCAAGACCAAAATAGCTCTTCTGGAGGAATAACGAGAATAATTAGGCTGGTTTGTGTAGGCTGGTTTGGAGCCCGGCCTGGCAATCTCTTTGAGTTAATCGTTGCTTGCCTTGGGAGATCTTCTGTACCCTCATTAGCATCTTTAACCTCTAAAATAGCTTCTCAGGTGATCCAAACACCTGAAAGACTTGCAGTTTTTAATCTATCACTTAAGCCAGAAACACAACATATAATTTTCCAGTCAGGAGGGGAACTCGTTCTATTTTTGTTTTCCCTAAAAACATGCGTGTGCCCTTTGATGTGCAGCCACCTCCTGTAATAACTGGTTTGAAATCTCTGCCTGGAGCACAGAAATGTGAGCCAAGATCTCCTTCCCCGGGTCTGAACCGCTGCTGGCGAAACTGCTCGTGGGCCCACCTCATTTTTGGAGGAAAAGTGGGGTTTGGGGTGAAACTGGGATGCTGGCAGGCAGAAAGGCAGGGAAAAAGTCCTTTAGGATCAGAATCACTGAATGGTTTGGGTTGAAAGGGACGTTAAAGTTCATCTCATTCTACTCTCTGCCATGGGCAGGGACACCTTCCACTAGACCAGGTTTCTCCAAGTCCCATCCTGGACACATCCAGAAATGGGACAGTCACAGCTTCCCTGGGAAATCTGTGCCAGTGCCAGATGAGTGCCCCAAGAACACAAATCTGCACCAAAACCTCTGGAATCATCTTTGTTTAAGATCTGTAACACACAGGATGAGGTTTGTCCCAAAACACAAGGCCCAGGGTTGGTGCTCCAGGGAGTGCTTGCAGCCCCAATGCTTTTTGGGAGCTCCAAGCTTCCCTCCCACCCTCAAATCCCATCTGGGGATGTTGGAGAGGCATCGAGCAGCGCCGTGCCCCGGGGCTGAAAGAGTGCTGTGGATTAGAGCAGAAATGGGATTATCAGCTGGGCTCTTCTCGCCACAGAGGGCTCAGTGACAGTTAAATTGGGAGATAATCAGCGTGAGCTCCCTGCCAGGAGCACAAGGTCCTTGCAGGGTCATGGCAGCCTGCGTGTGCTCCCGCCCGCTGGGGAAGGCAGCCTGCCTCCGACTCACCTGCCTGTAGGTACAGAACTGCCTGGGGAAACGGGGTCTGGGAGATCAGCTTCTTCCTTCCCCATGCTTGCCAGCTGTGGGGTCAGCAGGACAGGAGGGATGGACTTGTTGGAGAGAGTCCAGAGGAAACCACGGAGATGCTCCAAGGGCTGGAGCCCCTCTGCTCTGCAGCCAGGCTGGGAGAGCTGGGGGTGCTCACCTGGAGAGGAGAAGCTCCAGGGAGAGCTCAGAGCCCCTGCCAGGGCCTAAAGGGGCTCCAGGAGAGCTGGAGAGGGACTGGGGACAAGGGATGGAGGGACAGGACACAGGGAATGGCTCCCACTGCCAGAGGGCAGGGCTGGATGGGATATTGGGAATTAGGAATTTTTCCCTGTGAGGGTGGGCAGGCCCTGGCACAGGGTGCCCAGAGCAGCTGTGGCTGCCCCTGGATCCCTGGCAGTGCCCAAGGCCAGGCTGGACAGGGCTTGGAGCAGCCTGGGACAGTGGGAGGTGTCCCTGCCATGGCAGGGGGTGGAATGGGTTGAGCTTTAAGGTCCTTTCAACCCAAACCATTCTGTGATTCCCTATTACCCTAGCTGTGGCCTTGGGAATGTCAGATGCCCTTTGGGTGCTCTGTCCAAGCACAGTGGGGCCTGCTCCCAGATTGTTAAATGTGTGCAAATTCCAGGGAGCCAAAAACTTCGTTTGATTTATAGATTTGAAAGATCTGAAATGGGAACCTGTGGGAGTGCTGGGGGTTGGTTTTGGTACCATCAGACCCCACACAGGAGCACACCTCTGTGCCCAGGGACAGCCAGGGAGTGCAGTCCCCCCCAGTGCAGCTGCCAGGCTGAATCAGAGCTTCAGCATCACTTCTCAGGAGCTCTCATACCTGAAATGGTTTGAGCTTAAAGCTTGTTTAGGCTGTGTGTAGTGAAAATTAGTTGGACTCTGGATCCTGAAACTGCCTGAGTCTCAAGGTGCGAATAGGAAATAAAATTTACTGTCCAAAGCACCCAGGTTGAGGGTTTCCAGGTTCCTGATCAGATCTGCATCTGTACAGTGCTTATCAAACCACAGCCTCGAGTTTAGAGTTCTTGGCTTGGGTTTTGCTTCTGAATTAACAACTCCACCCCCTGGCTTCTATTCCTGGAGAGATTTCCACTGCTTTTGGTGAGGGTCTGACTCACCACAGAGATGGATGGGTTCCAGTGGATCCCACTGTGGAATATTGGTGCTTCTCAAGGGCAGGAGGAGTATGTGCAGATGTCCACAAACTGGGCTGGATTTGTTTGTGGTTAAATAGAGATCTGGATGGTTGACATGTTTTTATTAGCAGGATAACGACAAATCCTTCAGATGGAGCAGGGTTTTTTGGTCATAAATGGCTTATGTGTAATCTTTTTTTCTTTCTGATCTAGTCCACCAATCTGCTCATACCCCATTTGCCTCTCCTAGCCAGTGCGTGGAGATAAGGGCAGAGCCAATACCAATTTCTGTAATAAGGCAATATTATGATGATTTTCAGTGTAGAAATTTGGAGAGCAAAGTGTTGTTAAACCCCCCAAAACACAGAGCTGTGGCTCACAGCCCTATGGCCACCTTCACAGTCCAGTTGTTGTAAATCCCTCCTGTCTTTTCTCCATCTTAATTGGAAAACTTCCATAGTCCTGGGCAGAAAAGGGGGCTTGGCATGGTGGGGTGGCCCTGGCACAGGGTGCCCAGAGCAGCTGTGGCTGTCCCTGGGTCCCAAGGCCAGGCTGGACAGGGCTTGGAGCACCCTGGGGTCGTGGAAGGTGTCCCTGCCCATGGCAGGGGGTGAAATGAAATGGGCTTTAAAGTCCTTCCAACCCAAACCATTCCAGGATTTTGTGTCTCCATGCAATGGAAGGACTTCCAGGGACAATGACTCTGCTGAGCTGTGTCCCCTCAGGAGCAAGGGACATCCCAGGAGCTGTGCTGGGTGTGTTCAGGATTTGCTCCGAGGCTTAACATGCTGCAGCCTTGTGGTTCTGGTGTTAAAAACACATGGAGCAGCATTCCCCACTCCAGGATTGTCACACAGTGTTTTCCCAGATGGAGCAGGGAAGGGGCTCCTTTGTCTTGCTGGGGGTCTGTCCCAGCTGCCTGAACCCTTCCCTCCCCAACATCAATCCCAGGAGTTATGGGGTTAAAGCCTTGAGAGGATTAGGCAGCAACAAGCAAGTGTGAGCCTGGCACAGGCTGCTGTGGAACTCACAGCATTTCGGATGGGGCTGGGACATGCCCAGCTCTTTCTCTGCCATGTCAATCACAGAAAATTGTATTTTAGTCAAGCAAGGGCTTGTCACCAACCCTGGGCACTGTCCAGCAAGTCTGAGTGTCCCCAAATCCTGTGTTGCAGCTGCCAGTGAAAAAAACTTGGTTTACTGGGGAAAAAGTCACCATAAACTTCCCACTGGTGCCTGGGTTTTTTCTGTCCTGTCCTGCTCTGCCAGAATGGGACACATCACTCACTTGGTGGGGTGGGTTGACCCTGGCTGGACACAGGAACCCACCAAAGCTGCTCCATCCCTGCCCTCCAAAGATGGACAGGAAAAGAAAATATAACAAAGGGTTCATCAGTTGAGATAAGGACAGGGAGAAATCACTCATCAAATACCATCAAGGGCAAAACAGACTCGAATTGGGGATATAAATTTAATTTATTACTGACAAAATCAGAGCAGGATAATGAGAAGTAAAATCAGACCTTAAAAAAACATTTACCTCCCCCATCATCTCTCCTTCCCAGTTCCCCCTCCTTCCCCCCAGTGGCTCAGGGAGATGGGACTGGGGGTTGTGGTCAGTTCATCACACATTGTTCCAGCCACTGCTCAGGAGAGGAGTCAGAGTCCTCCCTCTGCCCCAGTGTGGGGTCCCTTGCACAGGATCCAGCTCTCCATGAACCTCTCCAACCTGAGTCGATCCCATGGGTTCTCCAGGACCTGCTGCCCCGCGTGTCACTCTGCTGTGGGGTCACTCCTTCAGGCACAGCCTGGGTCCCCCACAGGGTCACAGATCCGACCAGGACTCTGCTCTATGGATCCCTGCCAGGACCCTGTCCCAGCACAGCTTCCCACGGCCCAGAGCCCCTCTCAGGCACCCCCTGCTCCAGGCCTGGGCTCCATGGGCTGCTGGGACACAGCTGCCTCCCCATGGGCTTCCCCCCAGGAATCTCAGGGCAATCTCAGCTCTGGTGCCCCTCTCCTTCCCTGCCCTGCAGAGCTGTTCCTCTCCAGTGTTCTCACCCCACTCTTCTCTGCACTCAGTTCATTGCTCCATCTCTTTTTTGTGTTTTCCCCCTCAAATCTGTCATCCCAGAGGTGCCACCAGCATTCCTGGTGGGCCCAACCTCAGCCAGCAGCGGGTCCACCTTGGAGCCACCAGGGATGGGTGTGGGGGAAGCTTCCAGGGATGGACTCTGCTGGATGTGGGGAAAGCTTCCAGGGATGGGCTCTGCTGGATGTGGTGGGGAAGCTTCCAGGGATGGGCTCTGCTGGATGTGGGGGAAGCTTCCAGGGATGGGCTCTGCTGGATGTGGGGGGTGAAGCTTCCAGCAGCTTTTCACAGAATCCACCACTCTTGTACCAAGTGCTGTCCACACAAAGCCAACACTCTGCAAAGAGGCTGTCCTGGATGCAGTGGAAGGCTGCTGTGCCCCCTCCTCTAACATCTGCCTGTCTGTTGCCACAGGTCCCATCCCCACGAGCTGGCCCTGGGCTCCGAGCTCAGCCACTCCATCGTCACCGTCATCAGCGGGGAGGAGCACTTCGAGGATTACGGGGAGGGCAACGAGGCTGACCTGTTCCCGGAGCCTTTGTGTAATGGGGAGAGCAGCTTTGGCAGCTCCTCCTTCCTCTCTCCCAGGTAATGCCTTCACTCTGCTCCGTGGGACAGGGGTTTCCTCGGGATTTGCCAGCCAGGGGGCCTGGCAGAGTCTGGATCCAATGGGATAATGGGCTTGGAAGTGGAAGAGGAATTCCCCCCTCAGTGTTTCCTTTCCCTGGTCAGTGCCCATCCTATGACACCCAGCAGGAGGTGGAAGAGCTGTCTGCATTTCCAGTGTCACATTCCCACTCCTGTTAGAGATGTGGCTCCTCACTGAACCTTCCAGGAGAGAAAACCACCTGCAGCTTTACCCCTGATCCTGCAGGGTGCCTCTAATGTTTTTTTTTTCTTTTTTATTATTTTGGTCTTTGATGCAATGTTTGGTTGGATTTGCACAAGCTGCAGCAGCATTCCTTCTCTGGGGATATCTAGAGCAGGAAGCAGGCTGTAGCATTTCCTCCTTGCTTTAGGGTCTGAAACCAGGAAAAGTCAATTTTCCAGCCTGAGCAGGGTGGGCCGAGGAGCTGGTATGGTGCTACACACCCCATCAGTACTTTCTTTCTAAAGAAAATTAGTAAAAGCTGGAATATCATCCAGTGCTGCAACCCACAAAGTGTCTGGGATTTTGGGTAACACTGGGAATGTGTTCCTCCATTGAAAGCACATCTTTGCACAGGGCAGAAATGTTCCCTGCCACTCACTGCTGAAGACAAAAATATACTTCTTTCTCTTTGGAACGACACATTTGTGCCTTTCTGCAGCCGTGTAAACATCTGAAAACTTCTTTTTTTTCCTGTCTTTCCGTTTTCTCCCTGCTTCCCAAACCCCTTCATGGAGTTTGGACAATTCTGGTTGCACAGGGCTGGCAGGGAAGAGCAGGTCAGGGCTCATTTCTTTTTGGCTGGTGCAGCAGCAGTGTTAGAGGTGTTAGTGGCAAATAGGAGAGTTGCTGTAAAGAATTCCTAAGCTTTTCCTTCAGGAAACCAGTGCTCCAGCACTGGGATACCCTGCACAGTCTCTGATCCCTGCTTGTCCTTGGCTTGCTCTGTGCAGGAATGTAGGGCTGGCTGTGCTGGTGCTGTGGCACAGGAAGAACTCTGATTAAAACCCAGCCTTGGTGTTCGTTTTCCCTTGAGGATGAACTACCAGCCTCATCCAGAAGGCTCCTGGCAAGAAAATACCCACCTAAAGGAGCTTTTCAATCACTTGAACTTTTTCTTTAACATCAGGCCAGAGCTCCCAGTTTGCCCACGCTCCCAGTGTTCCAGTCGTGCTCTGCCAGGGCACCAGCTCTGCTCTGCTCTGCCTCTGGATCTGATCCACACCTTACCCCATCTTCCCTCTGCTGGGAGGGGCTCGCTGGGCACGTGGCCACACAGGTTGTGGTGGTTTCTGCTGGAGACTCTGCTGGGGCTTGCTGGGGAGGGAGGCTGGAGGTAAACCCTGCAAAACCTCCAGAGTCAGGAATGTGGGGCTGTTAGAGAAGGATTTCCTCATGCCTCTCAGGTCTAGCCTCCCCTTGGATTATTGCTGGGTTTGTGAAGTCCTTCCCTAAACATTCCCTGAGTCTGTGCAGCTCTTCTGACTTCGGATAGGAAGGGACAGGACACAGGGAATGGCTTCCCACTGCCAGAGGGCAGGGTTGGATGGGATATTGGGAAATAATTGTTCCCTGGCAGGGTGGGCAGTCCCTGGCAGAGGGTGCCCAGAGCAGCTGTGGCTGCCCCTGGATCCCTGGCAGTGTCCAAGGCCAGGCTGGATGGGGCTTGGAGCAACCTGGGATAATGGGAGCTATCCCTGCCATGGCAGGGGGTGGGGTGGGATGAGCTCTAATGTCCTTTCCCACCCAAATTATTCCATGCCTGAGCAGCCCCAGTGTGTTTAAGCACACCCAAGGGGACACAGGCTGTCCCTGGTTCAGGCTGAATGGGTTTTTTTGGTTGTATTTTGGCTGTATTTTGTATACAAAGAGCAGGAGCATTTCTAAAGGGCCACATCACCACAGACCCTTTCTATGCTACAGGGGTCTCTAAATGGGAATAATTTCTATAAATTCTCCTGCCACAACTCCAGAAGATTAGCACAAACCCCAAGAGCCTTCAGGGAACACTGTGGGGTGCAGTGCTTCCCTGCCCAGTGCTTGTTTTCTTGTTTGTGATCTCTTTTCTTGAGTCTTCCCTTGCATATCCATCCAGTAGGAAAAGCCTCTTTGCAGCTCTCAGTGGGAAATAAAGGGAAAAGCCCCTTGCCCCCATCCCAGCCTCCAGGAAGCACCCAGGACCTGTGGAAGACAAATGTTGCTCCAGGAGATGGAGGGAGGCCCATGGAGGCTCTGTGTTGTAGAACCACAGGATCTGCTGAGCTGGAGGGGACCCATCAGGATCCTGGGGTGGGTGGGGACAGCCCAGGGCTGTGCTCTCACCCACTGCACGGGCAGGGAGCCAGGGCAGCCGGAGGCCAGCAGGATCTGCACACACCCCAGGAGCTGCCAGCCTCGCCCGGGGCTCCTCCTCCACACTTCTCATTTTGATTAGTGCTGGTTAAATTTGGGTTCCCACCTGGCCCAGGCTGCACCACCTGGAAAGGGAATGCACCCAAGAGCACCCAGAAAAAGGGACATCCCTTCCCCCAGGTGCCACACGGCTGCTGTCACTTCTTCCCTGCACAAGCCCTGAGCCACCGACCTGTCTGCTGCTGGGAGAAGGTCAGACCTGCCTGGGGCCAGATCTGCCCTGAGGCGTAGGGGGAATGGTTTTCAATTCAATTTTTTTTTTTTTCCAGGAATGGGAAGAGATGATAATTTGGCATTTGCTGGTGTCCAGCCTGTCTGAGGGGGCTGGGAAATACTGTACAGACAGCACAGACTCCTGGGCTGGGGGCTGAGCCAGGGCACCCCTGGGATGCCTGGGCCAGGAGTTTCTGGTGTGTTTGTGTGTCCCAGGATTCACTGCCCCTTCCTGATGCCTGTTAGGTTTATCTTGCTGGTGTTTGCTCACACCTTTACCTGTCTCTCTTATCAATCTGCTTGGGTTTTTCACTATTTAACTTTTCTTTGATTCACATCCGTGGCTTCCAGAAGCACATTTTCTTACAGGAAGGATTTGTGGAGTCTGGCCCCAAATGAACACAAACGATTTGCTGTTGAGAATCCCTTCTGTCCTGCCCAAATCATGAGGAAGTGTCTCCCAGCTTCCCAAGCTGTGAAAGTCCTACAGACCCCCATGGCCCTTCCCAAATGGCATTTCCTACAGGAGCACAGCACTGCTGCTTGGCTCTTCTGGGCTGTGCTTTGGAGGAGAGAGGGCTTAAACTGCACCTGTCCATTTAAACTTTGCTTAAAATCTGTTTGCAGTGAAAATCTGACTCTGTGCTTTACTAAGGTGGGTCTGCAGCAGCACAGCTGCTCTACTTTTAAAGCATCCCACTGGAAAATGGGCCTCTGACCAAATGATTATGAATCCCACAATATCCTGAGTGGGAATAGACCCACCAGGATCATCCAGCCCAGCTCTTGGCCCTGCACAGACACCCCAGCAATCCCACCCTGGGCATCCCTGGCAGCGCTGTCCAAGCACTCCTGGAGCTCTGGCAGCCTCAGGGCCGTGCCCATTCCCTGGGGAGCCTGGGCAGTGCCCAGCACCCTCTGAGGGAAGAACCTTTTCCTAAAATCCAGCCTTAACCCCCCCTTAGATTCAGCCCTGGCTGACAGCACCCAGTCCTGCAGTGTGCAAGTTCATTCTTCACTTACTGAGACAAACCAGGAGCCTCCTGAGACCGATTGCCTGGAAAATCATGTTGGAAAATAAACTTTGCAATGGTGCAGGTTTGTGAGAAGCACTTACCTCACCTGCCCTGGGCTCTTGGGGATTGAAATTGGCTCAGGGGTTTGGAAATGTGGGCCAAGCTCAGCTGCTGGGAGTCTCTGGGAGGAGAGTGACGGAAGTGTTCCTAATTATCAACCATATAAATTCTATTGAGCAATTACAAATTATCAATTAGCTACATATTGTTATAAACTATTCTAAATTAGGAATTATCTAGATATTATTATAAGCAACCTCACATTGGGCTTTAATTTGACTTTGAAAACCATAGTGGGAGGCAACCCAACCAGCCCTGAGTTTTTAATTCAAATTTCCTACCTCCCACCAAAAGTTCCCCCTACCTTGAGGTACCCTGAGCTTGTGGAAGCCACGGCTGCAGCTGCTGCCTGTGCGTTCTGTGCTGCTGACATGACCCTTGTGATCTCTCTAGCACCAATCCGCTCGCTGTCAAACTGCACAGCATTCTCGCAGATGAAGCTTTTGAGTTTTACTGTAGCCAGTGCCACAAACAAATCAACCGCCTCGAGGATCTTTCTGCTCGCCTCAATGATCTTGAAATGAATAGGTAACGGGGCTCGTGTGCGTGGCCATCCCAGCCTGGGAGGGCTGTTCTGGCCGGGAAGGCTCTCCTTGTCTGGCACAGCTTTTCCCTCGCTCCGCGCTGCTGGGGAGGGGATGAGTTTCACCCGGCCACGGGAGCCTCTGCAGGTGCTCGAGGTGGTGGGGAGCTCGTGGAGGGTGAGCAGGAGGTGCCTTTAGTGCAGGCAGGGGGCTGGCAGACAAGGAGAGCAATCCCTGCCCTTTGCATGCCTCTGCATGGTGGGTTCCGTGGGAGCCACGAGCTGTACAGTATTTCTGTCACCAAGGAGAGACTGGGAGTGGTGTGCACGGGCAGCCTGGAAGGGCAGGGACAGCCCATCCTTCTGCTGCAGGAACAACGTGAAGGCATCAGCCTGCTCCACAGGAACTGGGGGCAGTAAAATCTTGTCTCACCCAGCTTCTTCCACAGCCTGCCCACCCCGGTGTCACCATGGGCTGGGGAGACGTGACAGACACCAGGAGCATTAGGAGGTTTTGAATGGCATTTTGGAGGTCTCCCAGGCAGCAGCTGGATGTGTTTTCTGAAGAGTGGAGATGGATTTCTGCCTGTTGATTTGTTCATTCAGAACTGGTTGCAGCCCTCTGGGTAGAAGGATGGTGGCATTGGTGATAAATCTTTCTTCTCTTGGCTATTGTGGCTATTCAGATATGCTTTTTGTCATATTATTGGTCTCTGTCTGTCCTTTGCAGGGACAGTGTGATCTGGGAGCTCTCCTGGTCTATGGGAAGAGAACTGGAAAACAAATAGGAGCTTGAATTCCGTTCTTTTTAATGAAAAAAAAAAATCTCCCTTTATTTTTCTTGGCTAAATAGTTGTCTTTGCTGTTGGAGGCCTTGAGGGTCAGTGGTGGGTCTCAGGTTATGCAGGTATTAAGGAGAACACTGGTTTTCCCTGGAAGCCCCACTCCATTTCAGGTTTTCTCCACGACATCTACTTGCAAAGCTGAACTAACACCTCAGAGCCTCCTGTGATGGGTGAGATTTCTTGTGGAGCTTCTCTGTCCCGTGCTCATGGTGGGAATTCCATAGGCTTTGATTTGCCCTGTGAGTAGGTACAATTCCTCCATCTGTGTTCAGGGTTTCCCAAGTACAAATGTACTGGGAATATGTTCCAAGAGCCTTTCTGGAAGGGGCAGTGCCCCCTCTTTCTGTGCTGTGGATGGGAGGTGTCCTGTGCAGCAGCGTGTGGGACATGCAGGACCTGCTGCTCCTCCCTGTATCACCACAGACATGAGGCCCTCAGAGCAGGGGACAAGTCCTGGAGCAGCAGGAACTGGACCAAAATCTGGGACAAGCCTGAAGACACCTCCTCCAGGGGATTCTGGCAGCTGGGATGAAGCTCAGAGCACCCCAGAACAGCCTCACTCGTTAAAACTGCGGGCACATAAACAGTGTTTTTATCCTTGGAATAAACTGGGGAGCTTGCTCCCAGCATTGGGGTGCTGCTTCCTGAGCCCACAGCATGGGAAAGCAGGGAAGACTCCTCCAGGAGCTTGGAATGAAGTGGTTTGTGCCTCTGTTTTGTTCTAGTGCCCTTGCTGGTGTCTCAGTTTTTGGACACTGCAGGTGCCGTCACTTCCCCGGGAGCTTTTTCCAGAGGAAAATATTTTCCCCCCAGTGCTGGGGCCATTCCTTACAATTCCTGGCAAACACCAGGGCCTGACCTCCTCCCCTTGGGCGCCGAGCAGCCTTGAAGCCCAGCCAGCAGCAGCTCTTGTGCTCCCTGGAAATCTGGGATTTGAGGATGCTCTTTGACCCGAGGGCTGGTCACCCTGACAACATCCCCCAGTCAGGTTTGGGGGTTGCTTTACAAAGCAAATTGTCCTAAGCTATTTTTAATCCCTCCTTCGAAGAACTCATGTTGCAGCTCCAGGCAGGAGTGGACTTCCAGATGATTTTATTTGTTATTTTTTCCTAAAACTGAGCTAAGCACCAGGGAATGCAGTTGCTGCTTCTTGGATTGGTGCTGTTCCTGCTGCCCTTGCTGAGTGAGGATTTGGTGTGGCTCGGTGACATCTTGTGACACCAGCATGGGTGGAAGATGAGGAGTGAGATCCAAGCCCTGTCCACTTCCCCAGCGCTAAGTCAGGACTAGAAGACTGGAAGGAGCATCTCAGCAAGGAGCTGATTCTGGAAAAGGCTGATTTTTTTCAGCAGGGAGAGCCTGCAGCCTGTCCCCTGCAGGTGGGACACGGTGACACAGCCCTTGGCTGCTGGTCCTGTGGTGACACTGATCCCTGACCGTTGTGGTATGGTGGCAGCTGGCTCAGACATGGATGCAAGGAGTGTGAGAAGGAGAGAGAGCTCATCCCCCTCCACAGCTACTGCAACAGTGCCCTGCTCAAAATCCAGACGGGGACACCACCAGCAGCTCCTGAAGCCTCTGAGCCAGGAGCAGGCAGCACTTCCCTGGTGATCCAGAGCCCAGGAGTGGGATGGTGGCTGTGGAAGGGCAGAGGGATGGATTGGTCCAGTGGGATCATGGCTGGATCGTTTGGGATCATGATCCAGTGGGATCATGGCAGAAGGATGGATGTGCCGTTGGTCCCCAGTCCAGGGGAGCTCTGGGGGTGGCAGGGGAGCCCTGGGGTGCCCTGGGGTGCAGGACAGTGGCTCAGTCTGCCATCAGCACCGGGCTGGAGCCCCCCCAGCCTCCCTGCTATTCTTAGCTCTTTCCTTGGGGATCGGTTTTCAGGCAGGGATCAGCGGGAGAGCAGAGCCTGGCAGGGGGCAGCGAGCTCTTCTCCAGCATTATTCCATGTGCTTTGTTATTCCTTGTTGTTCAGCACGGGAGTGGCCCCTCTCCTGCCCTTTCCAGGGGTTTGGGGGTGCATGCCAAGGGCTCCCTGCCAGAGCAGAGGATGTGCCCCGGAGTCCATGCAGTTTCCTGTTTGCCTGGCTCTCCACTGTCAGCTTTTCTAACTCTTTCCTGTTTTTTCTTCATTTTGCAGCCCCAATAAAAGACTTTCCAGCAAGAAGGTGGCAAGGTAAGCTCATACTCCTGTTGTTGTTCGCTTGATCCGTGCGAGCTGCCGGCTCCACGGAAGGAAAACTCAAAATAAGCTTGGGGAGTTGTAATTCTGCACATATTCCATAGTGCTGGGGAAAAGTGGGTTTAATTCTGGTATCTTTTTTTCTGGAATGGGGGTTTCTCACTCATGCACACAGCTGAAGGCTGCTGGCAACCTGATTTCTTCCAGGAAAAAATGGGGGGGCTTTTCCTCACGGTCTGTCCTGCCAGTGCCATAGCAGGGGGCTCATGGAGGAGGGAAGGAGTCTCTAGAAGGACATATCCATCTGGGATATGCCCCAATCTGGGATCCCTCCCAGTATCACCATGTTTGTAGAATTCTGCAGGACCAGACCAGTCAGTACCCCCACCTGGAGGGATTCTCCAGCACCCCAAAATTTCCAGCTGCCTCAGACAGCTCTTGGTCCTGTTTTACTTAACTCCATGTCACCCTCAACACTTGGCTTTGTGGGATCAGCTCACCCTGCTCAGGGGTCAGGGGCTCTGGGGCACTGACTGGGCTGCAGGTCACTCTAGTTTAATGGTTTAACCCTGGTTTAGCCCTGGTTTAAGCCCAGGTTTAATGCTGTGCTGCTTCTGTCCTGCATGACCACCTCGTGTGATGTCAGTCACCTTTTCCGTGTGGCTATTGTGACCCGTGACTGCACAGGGATATTGGATATATTGGATATATCCAGACAGTTTGCTGTGGATCTCTGGAGCAGAGGGTCCTTCCCTCCCCTCTCAGTGTCACCTGGTGCTCACCTTTCCTCTCCCAGCTCCCCCACCCCTCCTGTTCCTGTGCCATCATGATTTTAAGGATAAATTGACTCTTACCTCGCTGTTCTGCCTCTGCCACGCTCAGGAGGGAGATTCCCCTCTGCACTTGTTGGATTTTTCCTTGCTGGATTCCCAGCAGGACAGGGACACTGTGGAGGAACAGGCAGCTCAGTTTGGGAATGTTCCTGTTCCTGACACTCACTCTGCTCCCTGTGCTGACCCAAGCAGCTTCCCTGCACCTCTTCCTCCCGCTGTGCTCTCACACCTTTCCCTTCTCCATTTTTCCTGCACTCAGCAATCTCCCCTGGCACGGGTCCCCCCCTGGAAAGGAAGCAGATCCTTGATATTACATTTCCTACTTCCACTCATCTTACTTTCTCGAGCTTTGTTAAAAACACTGGCAGGAAGGAGGGCTGAGGGGAGCAGCCTGTCCCCAGGTTTCCTGTTTTAGGACTCGTTTTTGTCCCGTGCCTGGCACAGATAATTTTGGCAGGATTTGAGTTAAACTTTTGGGAATAGAGATACCCTGTTTTATGGGGGATTGAGCCCTCCTGGCCCTTTGCTCTTCTGAGGCAGTGATGTGTGGGCTTGCATAAATATTAGTTAATTCAAGAGCAGTCAGGTTTGGTTTGTGATAAGGAGGGAGATAACAGTGTTTTGCTGAGCCAGATCCTTAAGCTCAGCCCAAAGCAAATCCTTTGTTGCAGATACTGTAATTAGTGAATAATCCCAAAACATTTGCTTTTAGAAAATTGATTTTATTTTGGTAAGGGCTCTTTCCTCACTTTTCTTATCCGACTTCTGCTCATGCCAAGAAATCTAGGCTGCTTAAGCCCTGTTGTGCTTGGCAAGATTTAAATGACAAATGTGCCTGAGACTTTAAAATCTAAATATAAACTGAGGGTGAAGGTGCAAAATCAGGCTGTGGTCTCTTGGTAAATGCCAGTTGTGCTTAGTGAGTCCTGGCATGAACAAACTGTAGTGGGTGGAATTCAAGAGCCAATGGTACAAATTCCTGGGAAAAACTGAGGTTTAAAGAGACCTCTGTGGTTTTGTCATCTGTCCTCTGCTCAAAGCAGAGAGCAGAGTGTTCTCCTCCTGCCTGGGGTTCCAGGGCTGGAGCACACCCCCTCTCCAGGGCAGATCCACAGCCGTGCTGAGGGTGCAGCCCCTCTCCAGGGTGTCCTTTAGCTTGTCACAAAGCTGGGGACACCGCTGTCACCAGGCCTCGTTAATGATTAACTGGGCTGGGGGGGTCACAGCAGCCTCAGGGGGGTTTGCCCCTCTCCCTCCCCTTCCACCCTCACTTCTTCCCAGCCTTATCAGCACTGGGAGTACTCTGGCCTTTGCTGGATAATCCACAGCCTTGGCACTGGGCTGCAGAAAGAGAGTGGGAAGAGGGAGCCCTTATCTCGTGCCATTCCAAAGAGCAGTGATCCGGCGTGAAGTCCCGGGAGCGTGTCCACGTTGGAGCGCTGGGTTTCCCGGGGGAGCTCGGGCGTGAGGGGCCACGCAGCACTGCCAGGAGCAGGGCTGCCAGATCCCTGTCACCTGGTGTCACCTGGTGTCACCTGGTGTCACCGTGGTGCCGGTGCTGGGGCTGATGCCGGTGCTGCTGTGGGTGGGGGTGGTTTGTCTCTGTTTCAGGCAGCTGCACCAGACCAGCTCGCTGGCCGTGGGGGTGATGGAGGAGTCCTACCGGGAAAACCTGGAGTGCAGCGAGGAGGACATCACGGACAAGGTGAGGCCTCCTTCCCTTCTGCCCTGGCCTGGGCCAGCAGGTCCCGCTGCTTCTGCGCTGGTGCCGCTGAGCTTTTCTGGGGTGTTGAGAGGAAAGGGTTAAGAGGGTGAGGTCTGTGTTACCCTGCAGGATTCAGTGCCTTGCAGTGCTCCAGTGCTCCCAGGCAGGATCAGGCTGAAGCTCCTCATGGAGCCCTCCCCATGGAGGGGATGGAGGAGGAGAGGAGCGCTCCAGGAGCTGTGTGGGACCAGGAGGTGACACTGGATCTTCTCCAGAGGCAGTGGATTCCCCCAGAGTGCTGGGAGGAGGAATGGGCTGTTCACAGGCAGCATTTTCACTTCTCCTTCACACAAGAAGATGTTCTCAGGTTCTGCTTTTCGGAGGCAACCCACCCAATGTGAAACAGGAGCTTCCTCTTCTTGGCACACTCTGCTCGTGCTGTCAGGGTAGAGTTGATTTTGTGCTGGTGCTGATGACTTTTTGTGGGGTATTACAAGAAAAGAGTTGTAGGATAAAACGGGAGCACAGAGATTTTCTTTGAGTATCTCTAGCTAAAAAACAGGGGGAAGAAGCTACAGGAAAGAAGCTGAGATTGTGTAGATATGTACTGAAGTCCTGAAAGTCCTTGGAAGTGGCTTTTTATCTCTGGAATAGGAATGTCCTGAGGAGCTGTGCGTGAAAGAGAAATGTGTATGTGTGGCTACACTTGGAAATAATTATAATGCAGGGAAGACCTTTAAAAAATAAATAAAAATTAACATTTTTCCAAGGCTGGAAGTTGAATAAATTAGTTGTGTTCCTTAAGGCATTTGACTTGGGAAACCTTTGATGGAAAGGGCACTGCTGGAAAAGGCTTTGTGTGTCTTCACAGCCTCTTTACTACTCCCATGTCTCCTGCCCTTCTCCCAGAGCCATGGTTTGGCTTTTCCAGACATGCTCCTCATTTCTTCTCCCGCAGGATTGTTTTATATGGAATTTGAATAAATTAAATGCAAATACAGCTGGAATAAACCCTGTACAGGTAGAGGGAGAAAATCCTCATCTCTGGTCCTTCCCCACCAGCTGGCATTGACCCCTCCATCTGTAAATTCAGGGTTTCCATCCTGTTCCAGGCAGTGGGGAGTTACGTGGAGCTCTGGAGATCCACCAGGATCTGTCCCTCTAGACTCCTTTTAGGATGTCATCAGGAAGGGATTGAAGAAAGGAAAGAGTGAAGTGTTTGACTCCAGACTGGTACATGGGAGCCATCAAAACCTGGGAAACGGACTAGAAAAAGATGTTTTAACGGGATGCTTTAATCAAAGCATGACAACCCAATTCCAGTGGGAACCCTGCTTGTTTAGGGATGCTGTGGGGGCTGCTGTGGGTTTGGGGCTGCCCAGAGGCTGATCTGTGTCTCTGCTGCAGGTGGTGTTCCTGGAGAAGCGGGTGACGGAGCTGGAGAAGGACACGGCTGCCAACGGGGAGCAGCACAGCCGCCTCCGCCAGGAGAACCTGCAGCTGGTGCACAGGTGAGAGCCTCACCTGGGGCCTTTCCCCCTCCTCGTGCTTCAGCTCCCTTCCCTGATCCAAACCACAGCCCTTAGCACGGATATTGACTCCATCCCAGCTGAGAACAGGACTCAGTGACGTGGAGATTTTATATTTTATGGGCTGAAGTTCTCTGGAGCTCCAGGAGTAGCTTTTGGTGATTTTTACATATGGCTTTTAATTGCTGGAGTTGTGTCAGGGAGGGTCAGGTTGGTGATCAGGAAAGGTTCTTCCCCCAGAGGGTGCTGGGCACTGCCCAGGCTCCCCAGGGAATGGGCACAGCCCCGAGGCTGCCAGAGCTCCAGGAGTGCTTGGACAATGATCTCAGGGATGCCCAGGTTGGGATTATTGAGGTGTCTGTGCAGGGCTGGCAGTTGGAATCCATGATCCTTGTGGCTCCCTCCAACTCAGGATGGGTTTTTGTTGTTATTGTTGTTGTTCATCTTTTGGTTTGGGATTTTTTTATGTGCTTCCCTGCTCCATGCATCCCTCTCAAAAGGTCTCTGGAATGCTGGGTCTTGGATTTTTAAAATATATTTATATTTATATTTATATTTATATTTATATTTATATTTATATTTATATTTATATTTATATTTATATTTATATTTATATTTATATTTATATTTACTATCTTTTCCTGCCCCACATGCCCTTTCCAAACGGTCTCTGGAGCTCCAGGGTTTGCCTCCTGCTGGATCCTGGCCAGGGTGCAGCCCTTTGGATCCCACATGGTGTAATCCCTGTGTGTGCTAATCTGCCAGGCTCCTCTCTCCCAGCATAGCTTTACCCTGGGCAGATAAACCCAGCACAGTTTATCTATAGGGCTGTAATTCTGTTAAGTAACAGTTGTGTCAGGGAACTGAGCCACTCAAACAAAGGTTTCCCTAAGCCCTGATAAATGTGGGAGTGAGGGAAATGTTTTCACTTCAGCAGCTTGGCCCGGAAGTGTCAGCTGGCTCTGGGTGAGCTCGGTGCTGGGGAGGAGTGGGAAAAGTCTTCCCTGGGCAAAGCCACTGCAGAAATTCCAGCTCCCAGCCCCATCCCTGGAAGTGCTCATGGCCACGTTGGACAGGGCTTGGAGCAACCTGGGATAGGAGCCAGGCTGGGAGAGCTGGGGGTGCTCACCTGGAGAGGAGAAGCTCCAGGGAGAGCTCAGAGCCCCTGCCAGGGCCTAAAGGGGCTCCAGGAGAGCTGGAGAGGGACTGGGGACAAGGGATGGAGGGACAGGACACAGGGAATGGCTCCCACTGCCAGAGGGCAGGGCTGGATGGGATATTGGGAATTAGGAATTGTTCCCTGGGAGGGTGGGCAGCCCTGGCACAGGTGCCCAGAGCAGCTGTGGCTGCCCCTGGATCCCTGGCAGTGCCCAAGGCCAGGTTGGACGGGGCTTGGAGCAGCCTGGGATGGTGGAAGGTGTCCCTGCCATGGCACGGGTGGGGCTGGATGAGCTTGAAGATTCCTCCCAGCCCAAACCCTTCTGGGATTCTGTGATCTGCAGTTCTGCTGGGACACAGGGAAGGGTGACCTGCAGATCCCTTGGTTTTTGTTGGGATCACAGAGAGTGAAAAGAAGAAGGATTGAGGCTGTTGCCTTTTCTCTGAGCAATGAGACCACTTCCTAGAAACAGCTGAAGGAGGATTTCTCTGCCATGGCTACTGCAGGTGGAACCACAGCCCTGGGATTCATGTTTGGATTAGATGCTCTTAAAGGTCTTTTCCAGCCTCAGTGATTCTGAGATTCCCATTAAGAGATGTGTATGTGTGTGGCTGCTCTTGGAAATAATTCTAATGCATAGAATACATTTGAAAATAATTAAAAATTAAGTTCTTTCCCAGGCTGGAAATTGAATAACATGCTTGTGTTTCTTAAGGCATCTGACTTGGGAAACTTGTGATGGAAAAGGTGCTGCTTCTCCTGCTGCATCTGCTGGGATGCAGTGAAGCTCTTTGAGGTGGTGATTGGTGTATTTTCCCTGGAAGCTTGTTCTGTTTTACCATCTGCTTCTCCCAGCTCACCTGAGGGGTGGGAAAGGGGCTGGGAAGAGAGTCTGGTCCCTCCCGTGGGATGGCAGCCTGCTCCTAAGGACAGTTTAATCCCCTCTTTGTCCTCCCTGCAGAGCAAACGCCCTCGAGGAGCAGCTGAAGGAGCAGGAGCTGAGGGCTGACCAGACCCTGCTGGAGGAGATCAAGAAGCAGAGGGAGCTGCTCAGCAAAATGGAGAGAGAGAAGAGCATTGAGATCGAGAACCTGCAGGCCAGGTGGGGCTGGAGGGGGCGGCTCTCCTGGAGCCACCCCAGAATCTGTGCCCAGGCAGTCTTGGGGGGACACAGGGAGGCAGGCAGGGAGTTTAATGGTTTTGAGGTGGGGCTAAAGTCACCACAGACCCTGAGTTTTGGTTATTTCCATCTTTGGCCCACAGACCTAATCTTAGATTCTTTGTTTGAGTTGCTCTGATGCATTTTGAGTTTAGCTCCCACCCTTTATCCATGTGCCTGCCCTGCAGCGTGGGGATGAAGAGGGGATTTGTTAATGCTTCTTCCCATAACTAACTCCTTGGAGTACTTTTGATGCCCAGATGTTTTCCACTTTGATGGAAACAGGCAAATATCTGGAAAAGAAGAATCCTCCAAAGAGGCAGAGTGTCCCAGCCAGGGTGGGTGCTTCATGCTGCCTGGTGGATTCCAAAGGAAGAAGTGGGGTGGGAGAGGTGTCAGTGATTTGACAGGGGTTTTCCAGGTTTCCCAGAATGTTTTGCTGTTGTTCATCCCTTGCAGTGCATGGAAGGTGAAGGCAGTGAGGTTTTACCTGGGAATGCAAACCCAAAGGCCTCTCTGACCCCCTGTTCTGATGTCTCTGCTGCTGAGGCTTGTGCAGGGACTGAAAAAGGAGCAGCCCTGGAGCTGATGGATATCAGCATTGTGTGGATGCCCCTCTCTTTCCCCTGGCAGCAGAAATATCTCAGGCTTTGCCTTGAACAGATGAATCCCTGCTGGCTTCCCCTTGGTTTAGTATTCCTGGGGATGTTTTCTCCCCCTCTTTGGATGCTGGGATGAGTCTCACACCCGTCCCTTTGCAGGCTGCAGCAGCTGGATGATGAGAACAGCGAGCTGAGGTCCTGTGTCCCCTGCCTGAGAGCCAACATCGAGAGGCTTGAGGAGGTGAGGCCAGAGGGTGCCTGGTTTTGGGATGAAATTCTGGCTTTGGGATGAATTTTCATGAACATGAGATCCATTTAATGTTACACACCAGTTGTTTCCATTTTCCAGTCTTTGGACAGCACTATCCCACACAGTTATCCTTGTAGTTTCCCACTGTTCAGCGTGGAAGCTGGGAATAAACCCCTGATAAATCTCTCTGTGGCAGTGCCTGCTCAGGAGGGGACTCGTGCCCTCTTGTGGAAGCTTGTCCCCATCCCTGTCCCCATCCCTGTGGCCAGGCCAGTGCAGGGGAGGAGGAGGAGCAGGGATGCTCCATCTCCATGTCCTGGGATTTGGGAGTTGAGTTTCCAGAGATCCGTGTCACCTCCCAGCCCCTCTCCCTGTCACCCTGCTCAGGATCCAAGGCCCTGCAGGGCTGGGGCATCCCGAGGCTCCTTGGGATGGGAAAGAGCCTCACCTTTAGGGATAGTGTGGGTTACAGGTGGGACACCTGCAACAGGGGCTGCATTTTGTCTCTGCCAAGGTTGGGGCAGAATTTAGGTTAAAATTGACCTGAGATCAAACCTCCTCTCCCAGCTGAAGGGCCTGAGGCATTTTATCCGTGTTTAATCCCACGGGAGAGTGCTGCAGCTCCATCCCTCCTGATGTGCTCTTCGTCTGCCAGGACCTTGTGAGCACAGCTGAGGCTGGGGGCAGGAAAACCCCAGTGGCTCTGAGGATAAATTCCCTGCCATGGTGTGTTTCAGCCATGGGAAGTTGGTTTTGATCCATGCAGAGCCATTCTCCCTTTCTCCCCAGTGAATGGGATGAAGGAGGAGCAAGAGCTGCAGTCACTGCCCCTCCCTGCCTAGAAGAAGCCTGGCTGGTGAACTGCTCTCCTGTCTAGTGCCCAAAAATCAGGATTCTGTTGCCAGCGTTGCCTTTCCTGCTGGTGTGGTGCCTTTGGTGCTGCTCCATGGAGCAGGACACCCCCGAGCTGTGGGGTCTTTGCTTCTTTTCTGCCAGGGTCAGGGTTAAATCACGAGATGGAATTTCTTGTTAGGACTCAGGTGATTATCAGTTCTTATCTATGTCACAGTCTCACAAACCCTGAGTTCTACAGCACTTCACTCTAACAGACTGAAAATGGAGCCCCGTCTCTCTCTCTCTCTCTCTACAAGGCCTTTTAAGGATAAACTGTCTAATTAAGAAATGACACCTAAATTATTTTCACTTTTAACCCAATAACCAACCACCCATGCCTGCAATGTGGACTTTTTTATCCAATTACACAAAAACACCCAAACCCGTGGAGAAGAAGGTGAAGAAGGACCAGCTTCCACCCTAAAACCTCCATCTTGCTTTATATATATTAGTGTATTGTAAAACCTTAAACTCTAAGTTTTCCACCATGTAATATTACACACTTCTATTCAAACTCCACAACCACAATCCCAGTGCCATCATTCCATTTTGGAAGCTTCTCCACGGCCTCAGGTCAATGCAGAGTTCTCCTGGGGGTCAGTGCCTGGCAGCACAGGAAGGCTGAAATTCTCAGCAGCCAGGGTTCCAATACTGAGCCAGCCTCTGGAGCTCCCCACGGAGCTCCCTCAGCCCTGCGTGCCACGGGCCGTCCATCACCAGCCCTGCAGGAGGTCCTGTGGCATTTGTGGACTTCTGAAAGCCAAAACCTTTCCCATGGGACTGGAAGCTGTGAGCTCGGGGAGGTTTGGAAGGGCAACAATGGTAAAACTTGTGGGTTGAGGGAAAAGACAGTTTATTAAGTAAAGCAAAAGCTGCCCACAGAAGCAAAGCAAAACAAGGAGTTGATTCACTGCTTCCCAAGGCAGACAGGTGTTCAGGCATCTCCTGGAAGGCAGAGCTCCATTATCGAGCAGGGAGCCTAACGGTGACTTGGGAAGACAAATGCCATCACTCCAAACACCCCCTTTTTCTCATTCTTCCCCTACTGATGAACATGTTGTCACACAGTATTAAAAATCCATTTTGGCTTTTGGGATCCCTCCCAGTTCCTTGTGCACCTCCAGAATCACTGATGGTGGGGTGGAGTGAGAAGCAGAAAAGGCTGGTCACAGGCAGAAGGTGCTGCTCTGGGGGCTGTTGGCACCTTCACCTGCATCCCAAACATTCTGCCAAGGCTTTGGGGAGGAGAAGGGAACAGAGCTGGGCTGTGTGTTTTACATCCTGGCTTCAGCTGGTCTGCTCCTTCTTGGATCAGCCCTCAATTAAAACCATTCATATGTGAAAACCAAGAGGGAGGTAAAGATCTCAGATTCAGGACTTTTCTGAAATCCAGACATAAGGAGCCTTATGATTTAATGTCTCTCCTTGGCCTGGAGCCCCGTGCTGGCCCCAGCCCATCCCACACCAGCATCGTGCTTCCCAGAAAACAGCACAACAGTGGATATTCATGTGGAGTCACCCTGGAGCCATCCCTGACTGCTTCCCTCAGTGCTGCCAAAGCCCCAGGCTCTGAGCAGATGAGATCCCAGCAGGCAGAACCTCCTGGTGCCTCAGGAGAGGAGCATTCCTTGGGGAGCCAGCACCCAGCCGGGCTCCAGGGCCTCTCACTGGGCTGCTCGTGTCCTTGTAGGAGAAGCAGAAGCTGCTGGATGAGATTGAGGACCTCACTGTGCAGCTCACAGAGGAGCAGGAGAAAAAGAGGAAGATGGGGGACAAGCTGAGTCAGGAGAGGCACCAGTTTCAGAAGGAGAAGGAGTCAACGCAGGAGGTGAGTGGAGCCTGGGCTGGCCGCAGCCCTGTCCCCGAATTGTGGGAATGTGGCCTTGGCAGCCTCTCCAGAAATGGGTGCCTGGAGCAGTGAGGGCTGCCTGGGCAGAGGAGAGGGGTTCAGCAGCAGCACCTCAGTCACTTCTGCTGCTCTGGAGTTCATCCAACATTGTCCCTGCAGGGGCTGTGCCACCCTGGCCCCTTCCCTTCCTGCAGGGAAGGAGCAGTGGCAGAGGCACAAGGAGCCAGCAGGCAGAGCAGAGGGGGTGGGAGCTGAGTGCTCGGGGGCTGGATCACACCCTCAGTGCTCCCATCATCTGCCTGCTGATTCCACCTGGAGGCCCAAGCAGGGCTGCTGGTGGTGGCAGGACAGGACTCTGGCCCAAAGTGGAATTTGTTGTCACCGTGGTGTCACTGAGGGCTCTGGGGTGAGGTGGGGACCCAACCCTGCAGCAGGAGGAAGCTGGCTGGGGAGGGACCCGCATTGCTGGGGGGTCTGTGCTGCTGAAGACCCAAACCCAGCATCTTCAGCCCTCCAACAAGGTCCTTGTAGGGCTGTGCTCATGTATTTCAGTAGCTCTCCATCTCCTGCTTGCTGGATGTGTGAGGAAGGAAGAGGAAGCCAAATGCCCCCCAGAAAGGAACTCAGTCATGGAATGGGTTTGACAAGGATCTCAAAGTTCATCTTGTTCCAACCCCTGCCATGGGCAAGGACAGCTCCCACTGCCCCAGACTGCTCCAAGCTCCATCCAGCCTGGCCTTGGGCACTGCCAGGGACGGGGCAGCCACTGCTGTGGCCAACAGCCCTGCTGCAGCAATCCGTGGGGCTGCTCCCACAGCAGTCACATCCAGAGGGTGCTGCTGGGTCTGCCAGGCCTGTGGCACTCAGCTGTCCCCTTGCCTTGCTCTGCAGCTCATCGAGGACCTCAGGAAGCAGCTGGAGCACCTGCAGCTCTTCAAGCTGGAGGCGGAGCAGCGCAGGGGCCGGAGCAGCAGCATGGGGCTGCAGGAATACAACAGCAGGACACGGGAGACGGAGCTGGAGCAGGAGATCAAGCAGCTCAAGCAGGTAAGGAAGGCTGGGCTGGCAGGGGAACGATTCCCTGATGCCAAGGGAGGACCAGCAGGGTCTGGGGGCTCTCTCCCAGGGGATGGAGTGGATCCTGGAGCACAGTGCTGTCTTGTTTTCCTGTCCTGGGAGAGGGAGGTTGGTGCTTCCTCAGGGACAGCAGGAGCCATTCTCTCTCTGCTCTGTCCCCTGGATCTTCCCAGTGTGTCTCATGCTTCCCAAGGTTCTCCAGGCTCTGCTGAGACGGAGGCAGCAGCCCATGTGCTGTTCCCAGCACTGTGTGAGCTGTGCTAGGATGAAAGTCCCTGTGTGCCTTTGCTGGGCTGGATCAGCTCTGAGCACCAGGTGCTGCAGCAGCGTGTGGTTTGTGTGTGTGAGCAGGATAACAGGAACCTGAAGGAGCAGAACGATGAGCTGAACGGGCAGATCATCAACCTGAGCATCCAGGGAGCCAAGAACCTGTTCTCAGCCTCCTTCTCCGAGTCCCTGGCAGCAGAGATCAGCTCTGTCTCCAGAGATGAGGTACGTGCAATGACGAGCTGCTGGCTCAGACTGCTCCTTCCTGGGTGCCTCCAGCTGGCATGGCCTGGCAGGAGTGGATGTGCTCTGTCTGTGGCTCAGCCCGTGCCCAAAATTCCCCTGAAAGCTGTCAAGAGCAGAGAAATCCCCACACTTCAGAGCTCTCAGGACTTACCCTGCCAGCCCTCCCTCCTGGGGACAGGGAAGCTGCTCCCTGCCCATTTGCTGATTCTGGCAGCTCTGCTTTGCCTGCCCTGGGACAGCCTTCCCCTTCCAGGACAGAGCAGCCACCACAGGCTGTGTCCGTCAGTCTGGAGCTGTCTTTAAACCCCTGGGAGATCCCAGCAACTCTCTGAACACCAACCAGAGGTGCCTGAGCCTGCACAAACACTGGAATTAAATCTTTAACACCTCGGGAAGTGAGGAAACACACCTGGATATTTTGGGGATCCAGTGGAGATGCGATGCTCCCTGCTCTCTCCAGGGCTGAGAGCTCAAGGGGAATAGGAGTGAGCAGAACCAGTTTTTCCGTGGCCATTTAAACAAGGTCAGGAATATCCCAGTCCAGAGTGAAGAGGCAGGGAGTGAGCCCTGGGTGCACAGAGCCACGGGAAGCCCTGAGCAGTGTCAGGCAGTGACCTCTCCCTCCCTGTCCCCTCTGCTGCAGCTCATGGAAGCAATCCAGAAGCAAGAGGAGATCAACTTCCGCCTGCAGGATTACATCGACAGGATCATCGTGGCCATCATGGAGACCAACCCCTCCATCCTGGAAGTCAAGTAATGCAGCCGGGAGGATTTGGTGCTCTGAGAGGATGATGAAGAGGGACTCCAAACGTCTTTGCACTTGATGAAGGCACAAGGAAGCCTCAGGTCGGGGAGTGACTGAGCCACGGACCAGGGAAAAGGAAAACCAGCAGCCAGGGTTTGCTGTCTGACTCCGTTATTTTGAAGCCCTCCTGGCTGTGGAGGCGTGAAAGGGAACCTGGAGAAGGAGCTCAGGAAAGGGACACTGCAGGAAGTGCCTGTGGCGCTGGGGACTGTCCCGACAGGCACCGCCCCTCCGAGGGATGCTCCGAGCCGCGGGAGCTCGGGATGGAGATGGAAGCGACAGCGCTGGCTCTGCCCTGCTGCCCTGCCCGGCCGAGCATCGCCGTGCCAAAGTGTCCCTGACACACCCACCGGGCAGAGCTGGGAACCAGGGAAGCGCCTCCCGGACTCGCACAGGGCTGGGGTTTGGTTTTGGTTTGGGGTTTTGGGTGTTTTTTTTTTTTTTTTAATTAACTTAATGCAAATGGCCTCGTCCAGCTGGCTCAGCCCATCCTTGCCCCGTGCTGCGTGCAGAGCCCTCGGTGGCTGCCGGGGCTGCTGGGGACAGGGCGTCAGCTCACTCGGTCACCTGCCTCCTTATTTATTTTCGGTGTCTGTGGCTCGGCACGTCTCGGCATCCCGGCTCCACTCCCTCCTCCTCCCGCCGGGCTCGGCCGCTGCGGTGGCTCGGGGGGAGCTGTCCCTCGTCCCCACTGGGGACGGAGCCGCGGGGCAGGGCTGCAGCTCCTCACCCCGCGCTGGGGCCGGCCCTGGCCGCCTCTCCTCGGCCTGGCTGGGACACGCAGCACCTCGGGGGCTCCGCAGCTCCCGAAGCCCCGGGGACAGCGGCCTGGCCGGGCTCTGCCGGTGCCAGCTGCGGTCCTGGAGGGAGAGCCCGCCCCGCTGCCTTCCCCCGCTGCTGGGCTGGCCAGGGGCTGGAGGAGCCGCGCTCGCTCCTCATCCCGGGCACCGGCCGGGGCTGGAATCTCTGTGCCGAGGGAGGGGAGCTGGAGAGCACCAGCAGCTCCCTGGGGAACAAAAGCCATGTTTACATCAGACAGCTCCGGGAGTGGCCGCTGTCCCCGCTGCTCCGCCGGGCTCCCGGCAGGAGCCAGCCAGCGGGAATCCCAGGGATCGGCTCCAGCCCCGCGGTTCCTCTTCCTGCTCGTCAGGTTTTGGGAACGCCAGAACGGCCTGGAAGCAGAAGCCACAGCAATCCCGGGGGGGGCTGCTCCCCCCGGGTCCCTGCCAGCCCTCGGGGTGACTCTGGGCAGGGGACGTGGCTGCTGTCACCGCCCCATCCCAGGGGACAGCGACGAGCCGCGGCCACCTCCGGGGCTGATCCCGCAGAGCCCCCGCGGGGCAGCGGGGTCGGGGCGAACCCCAAACCCCGGGGCAGCTCCCGCACCCAGCCCTGCCTCCCCCCTGCCCCGAGGCCGCGGGAAGAAGCCACGTAATGTACATTTCCAGAGAAGCTTTGGGTGTAAATCAGTGTATACTTGGAGAGGGAAATTTTTTCTATCTTGTAGAGTAGGTATTTTTATAGAATGAAGGTTGATCCATTTTTTTAATACTTTAAAAGAAGAGAGAAATGTATCTGTGTATACACAAAAGCATATATATATATATATATATATGTATAAATATATAAATATTGGAGATCTGCCTTTCTCGACTTGGGATCCTGGATCCCCAGGTCTCAAACAATCGTTTGTTTTTTCCTGTCGCTCTCACAGAGGTACTGTAACTGTAAATAAGCACCGGGAAAAAAAGAGTTTTAAGCAAACAAAAAGCACTGACTTGCACATTCACCATGCTTTAAAGTCCCTATGGAGAGAGAAAAACAAAACAAAAACTGTACATCCTGAAAATGTTCCTCTTTCCCGACCAGTATGTGAAGGAAGTCCCCCAAAAAAGAGGCAACAACGGTATTGTCTTAACTGATGTATCAATTCTTGTCGGATTAAAAGCTGTTACTATTCCTGCCCGGAGACTTTTTTTCCACAGAGGAGGATTGGAGCATCCTGAGGGTCTGAATGCTGGATTGGAGCATCCCAAATATCCAAGTGCTGGATCTCCAGTGGGGTGGATCGAGTGGAAATGTTCCTGCACCAAGGAGTGCCCTAATTTTGGGAGGATGAGGATGATGAGGATGAGGGTCAGGATGAGGGAGGCTGGACATGGTTGGAATGCTCTGATTTTGGGAGGATGAGGATGAGGATGAGGATGAGGACGAGGATGAGGATGAGGATGAGGATGAGGGAGGCTGGACCCCCCTGATTCCATCCGGAGGAATCAAGGTCGGAGGGAGCCAAAATCTCCCCAGCCAGCCAAGCTGTGTGGGTGGGAATGGGGGAATTCCCCCTTCCCCTTCCTGGAGGATCCAGGTGGGACCCCCGGAGCTGCTCCTGCTGCCCAGGGCCGGGGGGGCAGGCTGGGGCAGGGACACGGAGCTTTCCCTTCCCTCCGCACCGGGAGAACCCCCTGGGAGCACTCGGCTGTTCTGAACTGCTCCAAAAATCCCTTAAACGCCCTCACCTCCCTGCTAAGCTGCTCCCCACCCCTCTAAGCCTCCTCCACCCCTTTAAGCCGCCCCAAAGGGCCTGAACGTGCAAAATCCCCTCCCAGCTCCCAGCTCGGATGGCTCCAGACTTTCCTCTGAAGCGCTCGGGGCGGCCCTGGAGCTGCAGCCGAGCTGGGAATGGCTCTGCCCCACCCTGTGAGCTCTGAAAACCCCCCCAGATGCCTTCAGACTGCTCCACGCTGCTCACAGCAGCACTGAGGCTCCAAAACGTCCCCAGAGCTGCTCCAGAACATCCCTGACGTGGTCCAAAATGTCCCTGAGCTGCATAAAACATCCCAGAGCTGCCCAAAAACATCCCAGAGCTCCTCCAAAACATCCCAGGGCTGTCCCAAAACATCCCTGACATGCTCTAAAATATCCCTGAGCTGCATAAAACGTCCCGAAAACATCCCAGAGCTCCTCCAAAACAGTCCTGCTGTGCTCTAAACTGTCTGTGAGCTGCTCTGAACCTTCCCTGAGCTGTCCTAAGCATCCCTGAGCACCTCAGAAACATCCTGGAGCTGCCCTAAACCATCCCTGGTCTGCCTAAACCACCACTGATCTGCCTGAAACATCCCTGAGCTGCTCTAAACCATCCCTGTAGCTGGACCTACAACATCTCTGAGCACCTCCAAAGCATCTCTGAGCATCTGTAAATCACCTCTGTAGCATTCCCAACTGCTCTACACCCTCCAAGCAGCTCTGGAGTGCACCAAAGATTTCCCTGAACACTCTAAAACTTCCTTTTAAAAATTCCTCTGAAATCTCAACCTCCGACATGTCGAAGCTGCTCTAGAAATGGGGTAAATAAATAGCTCTGGGGGTATTTCTGGGGTGCTGGGCTGCTTCAAGGAGCTGTAAATCTCCTCGGAGCAGCTCAGGCTCTGGAAGGATGGAGCTCTGGCCATTGCTGAAGCACTTGAACTGCTCAAACAGCTCTCGTGCTCCTCCAGCCAGCCCCGAAAGGCACCAAGACGCTCAAATTGCCTCAAAGTAGCACTTGAAGCCCTCTAAACGCTTCTAAAACTCCTCGAAATAGCTCAAAATGGATCATAGCAAAGGTCTCCTGGCAGCTCTGAAGCTCTCCAAGCCTCCTCTGTGCAGCTGTGAAACTCCTCGAGTGCCCCAAGAGCCTCCAAAAGGCCCTTGAAACCCCTCTGGACCCCCTCTGGACCCCTCTGAACCCCCTCTCTGGACCTTCTTCATGTGCCTCTCAAAAGAATTAAATTTTTTAATAACATCTCTAAACTCAAACAGTTTGCAATTACCCTAAACCCCCTCTGAACAACAGCAGAGGAGCACAGGCAACCCTAAAACAGCTCCAAAGCTTCTCAAAAACTCATAAAAAAAATAATCAGAGCTGCTCCACGCCATTCTAGCTCTTCTGCACCTCCTCTGAAAAGGGCTTAAAACCTCCCCAACTTTTTCATAACTGCTCCAGGAAAGTCCTAAAGCTCTGAAGGCCTCTGCATCCTTCAGAACAGCTCCAGAGCTGGTCCCAGCCCAGCCCAGCTCTGACCCTTCCACCCAGCTCGGGGGCTGAGCACGGGGACACACCCCCAGCCCTGGGGCAGCTCTGGGCCACTCGTGGCAGGAGGGACACGGAGGGAGCAGGTCCAGGGAAGGGAACAGAGCTGGGGAGGGTCAGGATCACCAGGAGGGGCTGAGGGAGCTGGGAAGGGGCTCAGCCTGGAGAAAAGGAGGCTCAGGGGGGACCTTGTGGCTCTGCACAACTCCTGACAGGAGGGGACAGCCAGGGGGGTTGGGCTCTGCTCCAGGGAACAGGGACAGGACGAGGGGAAATGACCCCAACTGTGCCAGGGGAGGTTTACACTGAATATTGGGAATATTCCTTCATGGAAAGGGTGGTCAGGCACTGGCACAGCTGCCCGGGACAGTGATGGAGTCCCACCCTTGGAGGGGTTTAAAGACATGGATGTGGCACTTGGGGACCTGGCTCAGTGCTGGCCTTGGCAGTGCTGAGGGATGTTTGGACTTGATGATCTCAGGACTTTTCCAGCCACAACAATCCTGTGGTTCCATGGGCCAGTGGCACTTCTGAACGCCCCCAAAGCCTGGCCACGACCAGGGCCACCACCACCAAGTGCCAGGTGCCCTGGTCCCTGTGCTGTGTCTCCAGAGGCTCCACGGCCGTGTCCCTGTCCCCAGCCGTGGCAGGAATGTGCTCCAGCCCAGCCGGGGCTCTGCCGCGGGAGGGGAAGGGATTGCTCTGTGTGCAGAAGGGATTTCCAGCTCCTTCCCCTCCCATCTGCTGCCGATCCCGGCTGGGATGGGGTTAACCCTTGGCGGCCGGGCTGGGGGGGCAGGAGGGGCCCAGCCCTGGGTTAGGGGGGGCAGCCCCAGCGCAACCCCCACCCCGGGGTGCTGCCGGTGCCACCCTTGGGACTCGCCGCGGGCACAGCACCGCGATGGCCGCGGGGAGCGCAGTGCCCAGGGATGCTCCAGGCGCTCCAGCACGGCACCCAGCCCCTGGCAGGGACACACCGGAGGGTGGTGACACCCCAGCAAAGACCCCGCGCCCAGCCGGGACACAGCGACAGCAGCCCTGCCGGTTCCAGAGCATTTTCCTCCTCCTGCTCCCAGCTGGAAGTTCCTGGGTGATGCAGAACCTGGGGAGGAGAGGCCGCTCGAAGCCCCCCGCCGCTGGAGCCTGGCAGGGCCCCCCAGCCTGCCTGGGACCCCCAGCCCGGCCAGGCTCCCTCCCCGCTCCTCCGGGACCTCTAGCCCTGCCCGCTATCCTCCAGCCCTCCGGGGCCCCCCAGCCTTCCCGGGAGCCCTCCAGCCTGGCCAGGAACTCCCCCCGACTCTCTCGGGGACCCCCAGCCCGCCCGGGACCCCCAGCCGGGGGCTGCAGCATCCCAGCGCCCCGGGATGGGGCGGGCGCGGCGGGGCCGGCGGAGCTGCGGGGCCGGCCCGGGGAGGAGGGGGGGGTCTCGGGCCGGGGCGGGGGCGCAGGCGGGACCTCCCCCTCCCCTCCCTTTCCCCTCCCCTCCCCCGGCCGGTCCCCTCCTCCTTCCCCTCCCGCCGAGGGCAGGCGGCGCCGGCCCGTCCCGTCGCGGGGCTCGGTGGGCTCGGCCGCGCTGCCCCTCCGCGTGCGGGGGTCGCGGGTGGGCGGCAGCCCCGGCCCCCCCCGCCCCGCCATGGCCCGGCTCTCGGTCAAGGAGCACCTGGACGGGATCCTCTCCGACTTCGAAGGTGCGGCCGGGGCCGCGGGGCCCCCTCGGGGCCGTGGGAGGAACGGGGGATGTCCCGGGGGGGAGCGCTGCTGCCTGGGCGTCCTGGGGCCGGGGGTGCCCCCCAAGGGCTGAGCATCGTGGGGGGCTGCGCTCCCCCCGCCCGGACGCTGATTTTGGGGGCGATGCTGCTGGCTGGGCTTTTTGTGGGGGCTGGGGTGTTCCCAAGGGGGGAGCACCGGGCACGGGGCTTCGGTCCGGGGGTTTTGCGGCTGCTGGGCCGGGGATCTCGGGGTGGGCTGAGCATGGTGGGGGCTGCGCTCCCCACAGGGGGCTGCGATTGGGGGGGAGATGCTGGGCTGGGCATCTTGGGGGGCCTGGGGGCTCCCCGAGGTCTCAGCGTCGTAGCGGGCTGCGCTGCCCTCCGGGGGCTGGGTATTGGGGACGGGGGGT